TTGTACCTAATTTATCTGCGTATCATATCAGATAAGCCATAACATTTTTCTAAAAGTTAATCTGAAACCCGAGGGGAAAAAGAGAGTTGTTTTAAAAACATGTTTCACCTACAAGAACTGAAAGCATTACTAACTTACACAACCCTAAAGTACCTGAGGAACAATATAGAGTTGTGAAGGAATTGATCGCTGCCTTGAGCCCGATAATTTAATTACACATCTAGTAAGCCCACAAAAAATAATAATCTTTTAATCACGAAATGTTATTCTTTCTTCGTAAAGGAGTCATCAAGAATACTCATTAACTAGACTATATAGCAATTCGTGAACAACCATTTCAAGAACTGACAAATGGATTTAGTCCAAGTTCTACGAAAAAGTTGTTTTTTATACCATCAGATATGGTGAGTAAAGAAGAACAGTTTTGAAAAGTTCCATATCTGGTGTATATAAAAACTGAGTAAAGAACAGTTGTGAAAAGTTGTTTTTTTTAGACCACCAGATATGGTGAGTAGAGAAGAACAGTTGTCCCTGAAGATGCGCAGTGATGATCAGTATTATTTTCTGTTTAGATAATCTATTAACCAAACATAATAAAAACCTAGAACTGTTAAATAATTAGGGTAATAAAAGACGTAAGACGGCCCGGCATGGCCAGGTGGTTAGAGCTCTTGACTCGCGATCTGCAAGTCGCGGGTTCAAATCCCCGTCCCACCAAACATGCTCGCTCTTTCAGTCAATCCCATTATTCGTTGGTAAAAGAGTAGCCCAAGAGTTGGCGGCGGTGATGATTAGTGCGGTGATGTCTTCCATCTAGTCTTAACCTGCTAAATTAGGGACGGCTAGCGCAGATAGCCCTTGTGTAGGTTTGCACGAAATTCAAAACAAACTAAAACCAAACCAAAAGACGTAAGAAAAGGAAATCACAAGAGGGATGTTTCTTTGTTCACCGCGGGGGGAATCAAACGCCGGATTTTAGCGTTGCAAGTCCGTGAACTTACCGCTGACCTTCCTGGAGACAGAGAGATATAATAAACTTCAGTATAATCGTGTACATCCAAAGAGCAATTGAATAATCACATTTTCCCCTATTTTATTGTTATTATTACTCTCTCTTGTACAATGTGCTTTGAATATGTTTAACCTTTAAAGTACTAGTGATAAAAACATTACTTGTGCAACAAGCTATAAGCACGGTTGTTTTTACCATATATCCGTTGAAAATACAGTAAATGTTAAGTTATTTTCTGGGTGGTGATGACTAGCTGCCTTCCCTCTAGTCTTTCACTGCTAAATTAGAGACAGCTAGCAGCGCAGATAGCCTTCGTCTAGCTTTGTGCGAAATTCAAAACAAACCAATCCGAATTTGGTGCGAAATTCGTTAACCAATCTTATTCCATGCGTATATAAATTCACACTCACAAAACTTCAATTGGATCGGGCTAGCTCACCACATATAATGATAACACTTACAGTGTTGCAAAATATTGATGTCCAATTCACCTTTAGTAATTTTCTTACCGTTTCTGGGGCGTTTAGTTAATGGGTTTTAATGCAAAAAAACTGAAAAAAGTTTTAATTTACTAAATATTATGCGCATCACACAAAAAATTCATTTTTACACGTTAATTTCAAGCCCTGCTAAACATAATGCGGTAACACGAAACACCTGGCTTTTGTTTAGAATTCTCTATCATAAATTTTTAATTGAAAAAACAAAACAAGTCCTGAACGTCATGTAAGTATTCTGGTAGAGTCTTCTCTAACAGATCTAAACAAACAAGGTGTGTGTGTGCGTCTTTTCTTATAGCATGCCCCCAGTGGCACAGCGGTATGTCTGCGGACTTACAACGCTAGAATCTGGGTTTCGATATCCGTGGTGGGCAGAGCACAGATAGCCCATTGTGTAGCTTTGTGTTTAATTACAAACAAACAAACAAACAATATTATAACAAAGCCACATCGGCCTATCTGCTGTATTCACCGAGGGGAATCGAATCCCTGATTTTAGCTGTCCCACCGGGGGGAAAACAAAAGGGAATCAACCTGGATTTTTATGCTTTTTAATATGTACGTGATAGAGAATAAATCATCTCCAGTGACGAGTTCTTAAGATAATGATACAATAAAATTAAAGTGTTGAATAACTCTGTGAAAAATATATAGATGCTCAAAAATGTATAAATAAAAGCCATGAGAAACGATTACAGAAAATGTGTTCGTTTATTGTTCGTGATTGGTGCTATTTGTGTACTGCACATGTCCACGTCTACCAAAACAACGTCTCTACCACACTTGGTGTAAATTTAATGATATATATTATCTGTAAATCGTAACGAACAAAACAAATTTTATTCGGTCTTCTCGAAATAATCATTACAATTACAGAAAGAAATGTGGCATCACGACAACAAATCAGTTATACAAGGTTAGCATGCACATCATGCAGCTTTAAGTACATAGAATCAGAAAAAGGAAAGAAGGCGTGGTTCACCTTAACTCTTTCCCGACCAGGCATTTTTTTTCCCCTGGAATATGGGAAAATTTGACAAAATGTTAAATACTTTATATTTGGTTGCTTTATTGTACATTTTCTTCAAGAAAGGCCAATAAAACACATATCATTGGACTTAGCGTGTAAAAGCCGTATTAAAGTATGTCCATATTGTCCCTGGGAATAGAAATAATGGGCGTGCTAAGTATTCCCCTATGGTAATAAGTGTGTTAAGGTATTTTAAACGCAGAGTATGACTGAGATTTTAATATCTGAAGTGACTTACAAGTATGGTATACTGTCCCACGATAACAAGAACAGTCAGTGCTCGTGAACAGGACATTTGATATATATATATGTATGTATATATACATGTATGTGGACATTTAAGCAAAGTGAATGAACATTTATATTTTTGTAGATAATATATATATATATATTGGTTGTTTTTTGAGTTTCGCGCAAAACAACTCTAGGTTTATCTGCGTTAGCCGTGCCTAATTTTAAAATGAAGTAGACAGGAGGTATGGTAACTAGTCAACACCACCCACCGCCAACTCTTAAGCTACACTTCACAAATGAATAGTGGGATTCACCATCACATAATAACATCTCAACGGCTGAAAGGGCGAGAACATTCAATGACGGATTTCGATCACACGACCCGCAGAGTCGAGCGTCCCAATCACTAGGTCATGCCAATCCCCCCCCTTTTCCAAATGATATTATATTAACAATAATTATAATTGTTTTTAACCTAATATTTTCTGTCCGTTCTTAATACCCCCCCCTTTTTTCCGGGTTAGTTATAGACTAGATTCAAATGTATTATATGACTAGCTGCCTTCCCTCTAGTCTTTCTACTGCTAAATTAGAGACAGCTAGCAGC